AAAGTCTATTTTTATGTCTTCTTTTCTATCCCGAATTATGAGTCAATTATTGTGCTTTTTCTAACCAATTCGGAATGAGATGATTTGGAGACCGAAAAACAAAATTTAGTCTCTCAAATAAGTTATCATTAAACCATTGAAGTCCAATTAGAAAGGGGAAGTTAGTGTTTAAATCTAATCTATAAATTAAATAACTCAATATCAAATAAAAAATAAATAATTGGACTTTAGGCTCGGTTCACCTATTAGACTATAAAATAAAAAATTACAAGTTCAAAATTTGCTAACAATAAAAATAAAAAATAATAAGAATAAGGCTTGAATGCATATCAACTAATCATGCCACTTAAAAATAATCAAACTAGACTCAAGGCTTTATATCAAATTTAGAGTTAATCTGCAAGAAAATAAATTAAACTAATGGCACTAGCAATATAAAATAAAAACTCTATTATTTGAAAAAAAAATTGGTCTCAAATCCTAACGTGCCATCTAAATTGACCTAAATTGACGTCCAATCAAATAATCATGTTAAGTGAAAAAAACAAATCATATATGCAAGGTTCACACATTATGTAGAGACAACCATACTTGAAATTAAAATTTTCAATTTACCTTTATAAAGTCTTTGACTTATTAATTTATATTGACTTATTTTAATTTCATTGCCATGAAGAAAAATAGAGCTAGCATATTGCTAGCTTTATTGTTGATCAACAATTTCGTAAGAGTTTTTATATAGAAAATAAACTTATAGTACTAGTAATATATTTAGGGTGCTTAACCCTTAATTATTAATAGAATAAAAATAAAAATTAAGAACCCTAAAAGCTACGTATCTCAAATCGCAATCAAATTAAATTTTAGGTGCACAAAAATTAAATTCAAAACCTTTCAAAAAAAGCAAAATAAAATCAATTACTTTCAATTAAGCTCTTGATCTTTTAGTTCTAAACTTAAAATTCATTTAGGATCTATTCATTCATGAAATAAAATCAACCAGGAACACAAACATCATAGATCGACATAAAATCAAACTAAATATATAATTAACAAAGTGAAAATTAAAGGATTAAGGACTTACCCAACATGATAGAATAAAGACTAGCATAAATGAAAGACACGAAGTAAGGATTGAACTAGATGGAAAAAGGCAAAAAGATGGTTGTAGTTTATCGTGCATGCAAAGTGGGAACCAAGGCATCCGAAGCTACTTATATACGTGGATGGTGGTACGACGTCCGAAGTTGTAGGGTGAGCAAATAGTCCGATTAACCAAAAACCGAATCGAATCGAGCTGAATTATTTATTTTGATTTGGTTTTGAACTTAAATTTGTAAAAGTAAAAACTAAACTGGAATACCAAAATTATTTTGATTTGGTTTGGGTTTTGAAAAAAAAAATTGATTTCCATCGAAAATCGAAAAACATTGAAAGTGCAAAAAAAAAAAAATTCCTAGGTCCTAAGCTAACTTCCTAACCGGCTAACTAAACTTCACTTTTCGGTCGCACCTTTTTAGCTCCCCGTCCTTCATTCCTTCTTCTCTAGTTCTCCTTCGTCATGCCTTCTATCTTAATAAGACAGGTGACACGCCCACAACCAAACCACTTAGTCCTCATTAGTCAATCGGTCACCACCACCTCTCTATCCTTTTCTTTTGATCTCATCGATCGGTCAACACCCACCTCTCTAGCTCTCTATCCTCCTCCTTCAATCTCACTAGCCGCCACCCACCTCTTTGTCATCTTCCTCCGATATCACGTGACACGATCATTGGTCATTATGCACCACCCACCACCCTCCTCCTCCTACTCTTCATCTTTTCCTCTACTCGCAAGCTCTAACAAGGTTAAGCTCTTTTTTTCATTCGGATACCCATGTGATTTAGATCGAATGTTTTCATGGATTTTTTTTCTTTTTGTCATGCAAAACAATAATTATCTTGGCAATTGGGAAATTCATAACTAGACTAGAGAATTATTTTGGAAAATTTTTAATTTGTGGTGTTGAGAGTCGATAAAATTCTCCCATCTACTAAGCGAGCTTCTTAAATTGAAAACAATGTTCGTAATTTCATATGTCGGGATATGAATTTTTGATTTGTGATATGAATTATAATATAACATTTTCTTGCTTATGTTATATATGTCGAGATTGGAGCCTATGTTGCCCATATGCATTAATGCCTTCTATAGCCATCAATTTGTTCTATTTTTTTCTTTTTTATATATAGATAGGTTTTTGTCAATTTAAAAAAATTGATCAAAGTGAAGTTTTATTGACTTCTTTTAAATTCAATCTTCCTTTACTAAAATTGAAAGAGTGAAAGAAAAAAAACCACATTTCTATTACTACTTCTTGGTTAGAATATTTTGATGGTTATGTGATGCAAAAATACATGTACTTGTTATTTAAGTTTTCATGATCAGTAAATTTTTTGATTTATTTAGGTACTCGAAGCTACTCCAAGGAATAAGCAAGTTGTAGTAGCAAGCAAGCACTAAAGCTTGTTGATTTTGTTTAATTGATGACTTAAAAACCTTATTGATTTTGTGTTATCCATTTCCTTAATATTGATGTGTCTGTTGGCATTACCATATGGCTTGTTTTTCTTATGAATTTGTTTGCTTATGAAATAGAAACTTGTATTTTGTTTGGTACTATCTTGTGGATGATTCTATCAAATTTGTTTGCTTTCGCATTTAGATTTTGTGTGTGGTGAAATTAGGAGTGCTATATACTGATTTCTTGGTGTAGAATGCATGCACCTTGCGTTCTTTGAAGCCTTTTTCTTTGTGATTTAGTGTTCTACTTTCGAGCTTCTTTATCATAATTTACGCCTTCTTTGAAATCCCTTTTTTTTTTCAACTTTAGTTTCGTTGATCTCTTTACTTTAGTTTCCTAGTGTGAAGAATTACTGGAAACATAAAAAGATGAAGTCCATAATAGTGTTAGGCTAACATAACAATTTGTTGTATGTGGAAACTCAACAATTTACTCGTATTTAGGTTTTCCCCTTTACTAAGCGAGCTTCTTAATTAGTTTAGTTTTGATAATAGTGTTTCAAACACAACAATTGTCTCGTTGTTATTTCGAATTAAGAGATGTAATACCGAAGACTCTAAGGTTATCGAGTTGCATTATGAAATAGATTTCAAATTACCTAGCTATTGCATAAATCTTCTAGCAATCTTCTTTTGAACTCTCTCATAGTCTCGAATATAAGAAGATAGATTTCGTCCAAGCACAAAACTCTAGAACTAGGAACATGCATATTTCATCTTGAGATTAAAGATATTTTATTTTGCAAAAATTAAATACGAAAACGAAATAAGATAAATCACAAATATAGAAGATGAAGCAAATAAGTTAAAACTTAAAACGAAAATCTCATTTACATGTTTTAGGTGTTTAATTACATGTATCCTTCTACACCATTCTACTTAATCTAGAACAATACCGCAAATGATTTAAGAATTTCTAGGATTCGTGTTCATAGACTTCCCGATAAAGTTGTTGTCATTTATCTATATATCTCGAGAGGTGGCGGCTTGGTAAGAGATGCTACTCCGGTGGGTATTGAGATGGTGGATTTTGGAGAGGGAGAGAGGAAGTAGTCTTGTATCGAAACCTAACAACATAATAAACTTTATTTTGGTTAAAATCGAATTTTTACAAAACCAAATCAAAATAATTTGATTTCAAATCGAATTTTAAACTTATTTCAATTCGATTTCATTTTGATTTTTCTTAATTCAATTAGCCGAAAACCGAACTAAATTGTATAAAACCAAACCATTTAATCGTTTGTTCATCCCTACAAATGTATGGTGGCTTAGACTACATCTTTGAAGCATGATTCCAACGACTAGGAATGTGTATTGTTTTGATATCGATGAAGGATCATGCCAATGACATTCTCCTCTTTGTTTTTTCTATCATTTTTTTCATATGTATGTTGAAGGTTTTCTCTGCATATCGGTATGTATGTGTGGTAGTTATATGTATCTAAGTTGGTTTAGGATTTCTTTCTCCGATTTTTTTTTTCAAGGGGATGGGCTAGTAGACCCGGGCACATCTAGGCCTATCACGCAGCCTAGCATGCGACTAGGTTGTAAAACCAAACCCTTCCCTCATTTTTTTATATTTACTTTTTTGTGATTTTTTCTTTTTTCACTTTCTGTAATATTTTGTTTTTTATAAACAAAATGGGATAACGACACACACGCTACTCATCAATTCAATGAAAACAAATTATCAACCAAAGTTAGCTGACAAAGTCCCCCCACCGATGTCTCTTTTCATCGTTCAATAATCAAATGATAATATTATAGAACTTGTTTTTTAAAGAAGAGTTGATTAAAATGAATTGGCTTTTTCCTTTTTATCATATTGGGTTATGGGTTTCAGCTTTTGGGCTTAGAAGACACTATAGTAAAGAAAGCTAGTAGGCCCATTATTTGGTCCACACAACTAAATAGAAACTCCACTCCCAATCCCATAAATAAGAAAAGCAAAAACAAGATTGTTATTAGATCCCAAACCGATTCTTTTGGCGCGTGCGAGAGAGCGGAGTATAGGGAGAAGAAAAGAGGAAGAGTTACTTAGGGAGAGGAGAAGAGGAGAGAGAGAGAGAGAGAGAGAGAGAGAGAGAGAGATCTGAATTATTAGGGTTTTTAAAATTCAAATCCCAGGTCAGTGAGCGTGTAAATTCTCAATCTTTTGATTCTTTTTATTTGATTGTTTTAGCAGAGGAAATGGTGTGTTTGATGATGTTTAATTGTGAGAAAGAGATTGTTGTGTGCTTGTTATTTGCAGGAGCGACCACCCACGAGAGGAGTGATAGAGAGCTAAGATTTCCTTCTTCTGTTTCTTTTGAGTCTTCTAAGAGAGCTGAGAGAGAGCTAAGGTTACCGGTTTCAATTATAGGGTTTCTCTTTTTTCCTTCATTTTCATCACCAAACAGAAACAAAAGGGTTGCTCTTTCGAGTCGTTTGGAATGGACCGAAAGCTTGTGGTTAGTTAATTGTTTTTGGTTTTGCAATTTTATAAAGTTTTATTTTATTTTATTTTATTTTTATTTTTTTGCCTTTTTGTGGGTTCTTATTATTTTGAGTGTGATTGCACTTGTAGGTCTTGGGTATTCCATGGGAGATTGATACCGAGGGTTTGAGAGAATATATGAGAAAATTTGGCGAATTGGAGGATTGTATTGTTATGAAGGTTAGCCTTTGAAAATAAATTAAAAGAAAAAAGAAAACTATAGGCTTTATGCTTATGCAACTTTTTTTTTTATTGTCTTTTGAATTCATGGCTACTCTTATATTGTGGGTTGCAATTAGAATTTTAATATGGCTCAAGGAGTTTAGATTGTTGTGATATATATATATATATATATATATGGAAATAATTCCAACGTGGTCTGACTTGGTCTTTGGCCATGTTTATTGTTACTGAAGTTTTGTGCTTACTGTTATTGATTTGATCCACTTTTATCTAATAGTTGAGAGTCTATAGGAGTCAAAGAATAGTTGTCAATGTTTTAGAGTTTTATCAATTAGAATTTGCAGGAAGTGGCTATGTGTTTATCATGCAAATGCCTATTTAAAGGCTGCACACCTAGTTTTGGGTACGTGTTATGTCATATTTGCTATTTATCTTCAATAAAGTTGCTCTTCAAAGTCAATTATATATATATATGTTTCTTACTGGCTTTGCCATTTTCACATCAGATTTTATGCAATAGTACGTCATTAATTTGGAGTTTTGATCTGATAACATTTTCTGTGGTTTGGTGTACTGAATTTTAGCTAAACTTTATGTTCCCTTGGTTTGCCCAAAGTATCACATAAAGAGTTTGAATTTGGGGATGACTGGATGCTGAAGGTGGAAATTTGACTGTTGATTTTCACTTTAAGGGCCCCATGTCTTGTGTAACTCTGCTTTGTCCATATACTAGCAAATTTCTGTGACCGATGAACTTTGAGGCAATGGACCTGGCTTTCTGGCAGCATTAACAGCACTGTGTTGGACCTTACTACTTGTGTCTACCATTTTGCTGATCAAAGTGGATGCATTTTTAAACCTCTCTGCAGCATCCGAAGTCAAACCAGTGTTTTTTTTATTTGCTAGATCATTCTTTATCATCATTTAGTTTTCTTCTTGTCTTCTCAAGGTGTAGTTTATCTTGAATATTGAACATCATTAGCTATTGTTTTTTACAATTGGAAGTCTTAGATGTGAGAAAGGGAGAGATGAAAATAGACATGTAGCAAAACTTTGGTTCTAAGAGTAAAAAGATTATATTTGGACACCAAGACCTCAATTTTGTGCTGCAGTGTGCATTATGCAATACTATTTCCTATACCCGTTTATTTTGCATCAATGTATGAGAGATGCACAATTTGGTTACTATATTTCCATTATTAGTATTGATCTTTATCTTTGCATTTTCTTCTGTATATCTTAAGAAATTCTTGACAGTGTTGGTGCTATACCTTTCCTTGTTTAGGAACGATCATCAGGTCGATCTCGTGGTTTTGGATATGTGACTTTTGTGTCAGCTGAAGATGCTAAGGTACTTCATATGGCCATTATTTTGTTCAATTTCTATCCTGCTTAAGATTGTCTGTGTACTGAAATCTTGTTGGTTGCAGGCTGTACTATCAAGTGAACACTTTCTTGGTAAAAGAACACTGGAAATTAAAGTGGCCACCCCAAAGGTTAGCTTTAAAAATCTTGAACAGATTTCCTTGTTATTTAAACTTTTTGAAGCTATGTTAATTTGTTTTGCTTAATGTATATGATTGAACTATAGGCACACTCTCCTGGTACATATTTTCTCACATGATACTGTATCTTGTGTTTTGTTTTTGGCAGGAGGAGATGCGAGCACCTTCAAAAAAAGCAACAAGGATATTTGTGGCCAGGATTCCACCATCCGTGACAGAAACTACCTTTCGAAGGTAAGTATGTGTTATGATGGTCAGGGTACTTGTTTCCTTTTAACTCTGAATGCAGTTCATGAAGTTTGATGTGGAATGAACCCAGGTCATGATATTTTTTCTTTTGCAGTCATTTTGAGAAATATGGGGAGATAATAGACCTATATATGCCAAAAGTAAGCTCTCTCTCTCTCTCTCTCCCCCTCCCCCTCCCCCTCCATTATCGCATGTAACAAACATATTTACGCGTCTCTGCATGTGTGGATGTGCAGGTGCTAATGACCACACTCTGATTCATGTCGTTTTGTGTATTTAGAATTAAATTTGTTGAATTGTTCCTCTGGTTATGAACATTATATTTTTGTCAATCATCATGCTGTACAGGATCATAGCTCAAAAGCACATCGTGGAATTGGGTTCATCACATATGCTAGTGCAGGTCAGACCATTAACGTGCCTTGCAATTATTTTTTCTTGTAACATCCAGACTATATGTTGTTGCACTTAATTCTGTTATATTTTATACGGAAACATGTATGAATATGCGGTATAGAGATCTATCAAAGTATTGAATCAGTTTACATTATGGAGATTTTCATCCTTTGTGGTATTGTGTCTAGCAGATTGGTTCTTATTGTTCCCTAACACTTCATAGAGATGTGAAGGATGTTGGGGAATATATCTTTAATGCATAATATTGAAATGAATTTGCTCTGTTGCTGCAGATTCTGTGGACAATTTGATGGCTGAAACTCATGAATTGGGAGGCTCTACTGTAGTTGTAGATCGAGCAACACCTAAGGCAAGTTTATGCAGAGCTACCCTTTTTTCTCTTTAAACTAGGCTTGATTTTATCTTATGGATGGAAAGCTATTGTTTTCCTTTTTCTTTTTTTGACTTGCATTTGAACTCAACTGTAGTCTCAGAGGGTATCTCATTTGCAATCCATTTTAGTAATTCTTTACATGTAAGCAAATAGATATGCAGTTAATATCAATGGTATTGCATTATATTATCAGGAAGATGATTTTAGGCCAATAGGTAGAGGGTCACCTGGTGGATATGGTGCATACAACGCTTATATTTCTGCAGCTACTAGATATGCAGCGCTTGGTGCTCCCACCTTGTATGATCATCCTGGACCATTCTATGGAAGTAAGTACCACTGGAATTAGGTCATTTTAGCAAATTAGCTAGTACTCTTTCATCAAACTGTAATTCTTTTTCCTGTTGGATTAGGAGGGGAATCATCTAGAGGAATGGGCAAAAAGATCTTTGTTGGAAGGCTTCCTCAGGAAGCAAGCGCTGAAGATTTGCGCCAGTATTTTGGTAGATTTGGCCACATATTAGATGTATATGTTCCCAAGGTAAGATGATGATATTTTTTGTTGTACAGTTGAGAGGGAATTTCATCTAATTATTGATCCATGAATGCTTATTGGATGTAGGATCCCAAGAGAACTGGCCATAGAGGTTTTGGATTTGTAACCTTTGCTGAAGATGGGGTAGCAGATCGTGTATCTCGAAGATCTCATGAGATTTGTGGACATCAGGTATTACCTGGAACTTTCCCTTTACCCAGAACATTTGTTGATGGTTGATTGTCATTCAGAATATACTATAAAAATAGATGTATGCAGAAAGGGTTCTTTATCTAAGTTTTTTGAATGAAGCTATGTGAACTGGGAGAGAATTTCTAATGCTTAATAAGTGAAATGAAGGGTTTTCATCATGCTCTATCTCGGAGGTGGTTTGCGGATTTCAGGATTTGCTAGGATTCTAGAGAGTGGTTATCATTTGTTGAAGAAATTTACAAACTAGATTCGAGGATGCTATTGTACTTCGTACATCAGTCAACAAATTATTGTTACTAATACATGAAAGAACAAAATATCACTTCAGTATGAGTCAAGATTCTGCATATTGCATCTTGGAGCATGATGCTTGAATAATTGATACATGTGTATGTGCTATGTTCTATGATTCAGATATTTAGACGCGTACACTATCTATGTGCTGCGCTTGCATGCATGTAAGCCTTCACTAATCAGGACTTTTGTCCCTGTGGAGAGAGCAGAGGCTTCAATTCTAGTGGAAGTGCAGAACATAACTTCTAACAGTAACTTCCTGTGCAGGTTGCAATAGATTCAGCCACACCTATTGATGATGCTGGCCCAAGTGGAAATTTTGTGATGAGTGGTCCTGAACCTTTTGGGAGCTATGCTGGTCCTATGCGCAACTTTGGCAGGATGTATGGAACCCTGGATTATGATGATGCAAGTGCATATATGGTTCCTTCTAAAGTAAGTATGAAAATTGTTGAATCCATTTTAAAGGTGTTCTTGTACTGATAAATATTAGAATGGTTAATAGTAGAGTTTATTTTTGGCCCAGCAATTTGTTAAACGAAACATTCTTTTGTTTGCAGTGGGGTTATGGAATGGGGAGTGCAAGACCTTCAAGAGCAGATTGGAGGTACAGACCGTACTAGACAAAGGATTGTGGCCTTGGAAAACTAGGATTGCTCCCCAAATTCTTAATGAGATGTCAGCAAGTTGTGTATCATCTGTGGATTGAAGTTTTCTTCAAATAGTAGTATAATTATTTAATGTTGACATTTCTCTTGCTTTGGAGATTCCTGAACTTCTGAACTAAGCTTCGAGTGCCAGATTGTTTAATATGTTAATTCTGCTGGCAAGTGCTTTATAGAAAGTAACAAGGGATCCACAAGATGTGGGCTTGTGCACCTTGAACTTCGAATGGGAATTCTCCTTGTGTGGATCTTAGATTTTTTTTTTTTTTTTTAGGTCAAACATTTGGAAATCGTTTGTTCTGTCTGCTAACATCTCAACTATTCGCACTGACATTTTGTTGGATGTGGTTGTAACTGCTGCAAAAAAATTGATGCGTAGAGCTAAAAGAAAACATTTTATCTCTAGATGTGACCTTAATAACATAGTAGTCTTTTATCAAACAGGAGGGTACCTCTGGTTCGACCAGAATTTTTGAAATGTTAATTCAAGTTACAATTGATCCCTGCTGACGTATTCTTTCCAAAATCGATGCGGGAATGCTGGACTAAGGTTGCATGTATTCATTTTGTACAGGAGATAAGGTTGTGAGCAAGAGATTTCATGATCGAAGGTTGCTGCAGTCGATTTATGAGGTGAATTGTGGTGGATTTTGAACAAAACAAATAATGCGATGTGGGGTGACTAAGTAGATTCAGGTTGTAAGGGCAACGAAATTCTCATAATTTACATGGCTATCTACCGAGTAGAACTGACTTGAACGTCTGCCTGTTTCTACATTTTTCAATGGAAAAGGGGAAAAAAAAATAGAGAGCGAGAGAGAGGGAGGGAGGAAGAGGAAGAGGAACAACAAGTACTAAGATAGCACACGTGTACAAAATCTGAACCAGGAAACTCGTGGAAAGAGCTTCGGGGTTCAAAAAGGATTTATCACTTGAAACAGCGCTGAAATTTTAGAAAGCATGGCAGGTAAAGCAACTAGCCAAGGAACTCAAACGAGCATGCTTGTGGAAGAGCTTGATCTTGTGGCATTTCTGGGTAACTTGGTGTTCCTGCCTGATTGACGTTGAGCTTCTCATTTCTTCAGCTTTCATCTGAGCCATTCTTAGCTTGTTCATTATTTTATCCATTGATGATGATCTCTTCTTTTCCAGTTTCATCTGAAGGAAAGAGTTGTAATTAGTTAGCACCATATGACTAAATTAGGACAATGAAAAAGGTGCGCCAGAGTTTACTTGTTATTCTTGGCTATTTAAAACATAAATTATGTTGAGCCTTTCAAATTATATAACCTCAAGTTTCCGTATGGCTGCCTCTGCTCTTGCTTTCTGTAAATTCTCCCATGCAGTGATCTTGGCTTCCTCTCTCTGCAACCTGCCTCAAGAACGATTGGTATTTGGCAAAGTTACTTTGGGATAAAGAAAATATGCTTGCCTTTAACCGCAAGCTTCAGGGGCAAATGACAGCCATAGAGACCTAAAATTGTGCATGTGATAATTGAAAAATTCTTTTGAAATCCTAGAAGACAGAAATGGCTGCATTGGTTCAACTTCCCCTGACCTCCACTAATCCTATGCGTTTCTTGACATATTTTCACTAGCCAGTAAAGCCAACATTCAATCTAATTTTGTAATCACTTGTTTTGTGCAAAATAATGCTGGGAGTCAGAGAAGGCTTTCAAAACCAGAATGGACTAGCATCAGTGTGATTTCAAGATTTATGTTCCTACTTCCTAGCCCGTTTACAAGGGAACTGTCATGAGAAGAAGGCAGAAACCAAAATGATGCAAATGGAACGTACTTTGAAAAATCTGATACTGCCTCTGAAATATCCCAAGACGAAGAGCGAGCATCAGCAGCATTTGGATTGAAGTCCTCGACATCTGGCTGTCTCCTCTTAATTCTTTGAGAACCAGGCCTTTTGGACCACCTAATCACTGTGGCTCTTTTGTCTACCTGGACTTCCCTGATTTCCAATTTACTAGAATGGTCACTAGGTGGCTCCAGTACAGGAGCTATAGAGGGAGGAGAAGAGGACCTTCGTCTACAAGAAGAGTGGGTGCTACTCTCGGGGCTCATTTGTGTTGCCATATCCCTTCTTGAAATAATGCGATCAACTGTGTTGCTTGCGTCACCAACGCCTTCAGGTTTTTCATCTGCACATTTAATGAGACAAGTAGTATGTGAGATACAATCATGCAACATTTTAACACCACATGATTATAGCAACCATGAGAACATTCTGTACAAGATAGCATCTGAACAAGCACATTAGGTTTTCCTATAAATGTTCCTGAGTCAGATGCATAAGAGGAATTTGCAAATGACATACTGTTTATGGCTCTATCTTACTGCCAAAATACAGTTAACCGATTAGATTTCCAGACATTTGACAGATGCATGCCAATTCATTACAATTTCGTTTCGTAACCCTATATGTATCTGCAAATATTTTTATCTCTTAGCACTTAACACATACAATTCACCATTTCTGCCTGTTCTTCTCAGTCTAAGGTCTGCACAAAGAGAGTTACCCTTGTTTTCTCATGATGCTTAATGTTTTCTTCTCAAATGTAAGTCATAACTAGAAAAAGGCACTTATTTATCCCAACCAGCTTTCATTTCTACATCAACATCTAAACAGTGAAGTGATCGCACTTACCAAAATCTTGACATCAAATAGTTGATACATTGATTATTACTCTGATTTCTCATGCACATCCACTGTTGTTTGAACAAACAATTTTGCCACAGAACTACTTTTTGATCAATAGCTTAGTTAGCATATTCACAAGCAAACTCCCTGCATTATCTGCATAATTTTACATAACCCAAATTGAGCAACGACAGACTCAATCCTCATGACGGTAGATCTAAGAGGTTGTCATCAAAACGGGTTGAACTCTAACCAATGCTTGCTTAAACACAATGTTAACTAGATATGACAAAGGCGTGCCCAAGAAACACATTCCTGTGTTTAGTCCTTCAATGGATTCATGATTAGAATTGTAAAAATGGCAAAATTTACTTCCCAATTGCACAAAAGCGCAACTAATGTCATACCTTGAGAGCTGGAAGACGAAGATTCGTTAACCAAATCAGAGCAGCCAGGAGCACTAGCCAAACGTTTCACATGACTTTGCCCACCATTACCACCTCCAATTCCACGATAATGAACACCAACCCCGTCAGGCATCAAGACTCCGGTCGAAAATGGAGAATTTAACATGAAATTTCTCACAATCCCACCATCAAGAAACCCCATTGAAGGTGAACAATTCCCAGGAGGCACATTAATAGGCCCACTTTTTGACTTGGCCCGCCTTGGAGGATGACACTGTGAACTTTTAGCTACACCATAGCCCAAAACTGGACTGCATATCCACCTCTCTGCATCTTCCCATTTAGAAGGCAAAGCCCTGCCACTATAAAAAGGAGTTAAGGCACTTATATGCCTCCTGCTGCTGCCTGATGAAGGGTGTGGAATTCTCTCTGAACTCCATCCTTTGTTGTTATCTTGATGGTTGGCTCCTCCTGGACTCGGAAACGCACCTAAACTCTGGGAAGACAATAGATTCTGCTTCATGTTTCTAAACAGCACTAATTGTGAAGTGGGTCTTTGCCTGCTGATTAGTAGCTACCTTATTATTACAACTTACAAACGTTTGCTAAGCAAGAGAATGAATGTCTTTGACAGTTCAGTTTGTTAGATTTTCAAGTCAATGCCACTGTTATAGTTTGGTCTTGGTTACACTTACAGCTGCAGTAGTTTTCTTGTTTCCACTGTTTCAACTATTTTGCCTGTGGACAAGACTTGTTCTGAAGAAGCAGAGAAATGCTATCTAATGGGGTTGAATCAGGGAATAATTGCTACGATGTGGACGAAGTTTGCATGAATGATGATTTCATAGGAAACCCTTTTTGAACAGACAGACAAAAGTCTATTGTTTTATGTGCTATCTTTTAGTTTGATAAATCAAATCTCAGTCACTTGCCCAACCATAAGCCACACGGGCATAAGAAACTTAACGTTTTCTTTTCTTCTTGCATAAAAACAACTGTAATGTACATGATCATGATATGGAGTATAAAATACTTGGCTAATTAGTTTTATATTATTTTGATTTTTTAATATTCAAATTTTAATGTTTTCAATTTGAATACCAAATATTTTTTTAGTTTGCAATTGAGTTCGTTTTTCTTGTTCTCAAATTCCAAATATATTTTTCATACTTGGTTTAATAAAATTACGACACCTGACATTTTTTTTAAATTAAAAGTAAAATAACAAAAAAACTCCAAATTTAAATTTTTTTAAAAAATAAAAAATATATCTCATTCATCCTCCTTTTTTTATTTCTGTTACTCTTCCTATTCCTAACTCATTCTTCTTCTTTTTTCCTTGTTTATGCTGCTGATATTCCATTGGTGAGACAATATAAAAAGGCAGAACAAGGCTCCTACTCCTTATTCTATTTGTGTGCCTCTTTTTCTACCTTTCTCTTAATCTCTCCACCATTTTATTTTTGGTGGCAATACAGCATTTTACATTGCTTGACTTGGAATTTCAAGCCATTACTCTTTGTTTTTGGTAAAGACCCTTTATCTTCACAATATTCATTAAGCTCTGTCCCAAACTTTTGTGTCTGCTGCTTGTTTGCCCATCAAGATCCAAGAAAACCCAGTTCCAAAAATCCCAAATCAAAGAAAATCCACTGAGTTGTATTACCTAACTCAAATCATTCTCTTCGCAGTGGGTTTGCAAAGAATGATGGATTTGCAATAACTTCGGTTTTGATTGAGTTAATTATTGTAGAAGGGGGCGAATGAAATAGGATTTTTATTTTTAATTTAGATTTGGAGTTTTTTTTTTATTATTTTACTTTTACTTTAAAAAAAGTGTCACACATTGTTATTTCAATCAGTTAGCGGTAAAAGTATACTCGATTGCAAATAAAAAAAAAAATTAAAGTTCAAATATGGTGGAGATTTAGATGGTTTGCTTTCTAACAAAAATTATGCTAAAAATATTTGTCAAGGAGGGAAAATATTTTTATAAGAAAAGAAAATTGAGAAGGACGCTTAATAATTTTTATTTGAAAATGTATAAACAAAATTTAAAAATATATAGATTTAAGTGGAAAGTATGAAAAATTAAATACACTAGGATGCACTACAAAACTTTTCCAAGAGTTCCTCCAATTCAATACCTAGCTAGTAATAACATTGGCATGTGTAAATACGATTAATTATTTAGCCAACAAAGTAGATTGCCATGATTATTAGAAAACAAGAAAATTATGTAATAAAAAAAAAGAAGAAAATCTAAAAAAGTAATTAAAGAGACGTGAAATTTAATAGCTTTAACTACTTACATAAAAATTGATATTTCTTAACATTTTTAACATTAGAATGGAGGAAAAAGAGGAAATTTTTACTGTAACATAAAAAGAAAAGGTGAATTACAAGTTGACTTTAATGATTTTATGCATGCAAGCAAGTAATAAGCTAGGGAGGAGTAGTATGGGTCGAATCTGAAGTAAGTAAAAGAATGCAGTACAAAGAAATTAAGTGAGGTCCATTGTTATAGAAATGTGGCATTATTGCACATGCACCGAATGCTAATTTATCAATTTCTTCTCATGCATAAGCCTGGTCATGGGGACCTCAAGTTTAGGACATTATGATGGATAAGTTAAGGTTCATTCCAAATACATCCAACTTGACACAATAACATCTGAACATGCTGTGTTTTTCTTACTGTCTGACGGTGGAGTTTCACGTGATAGAAAATTCCACATTGATGGGAGTAAATTGATGTAGAGTTGAATTTTCAGTAACCCGAAATTTGTTCTTTCACACAAAAAAATTTCTTTCCTTTTTCTTAATTTCTGCCACCTTTTCTATCTATATATATTTGTTTTTTTTTCTAAATAATTTTGAGGGAGATTTTTTTTATGTGTTAATACAAAATGACTGCGTGTTGGTTGATATCAACCACGTTAGTATTTAATAGTTTCAGATAATAAATACATTCAAATAGGAAAAGAATGAAAATTTTATCGGTCAAATTGATAAAAAAAAAAAAGTATTTAAACAGAATAAAAATAAAAAATTATGCTTAGAAGTTATACTTTTTCTCTAATTTCGAAAGATATTTACTTTTTATTATACGCTAGAATAAAACAATCACACGTCACAACTTGTAAATATATAACAGTCTTGGATGGTGATATGCACTAAAATAAAATAAAATTTCAAAAGTAATCATTCAAACGGGTCAAATAAAAAATGAGATTTCTCCAAATTTTGACCATTTAATCTTAGATGTTTTTTTTATTCAAACCTTTCTATTCTTCTGAATTTATTGCTTTAGACTTTCTGTTATAACATGACTAATCAATGATTGGCATGTCATCTCTACTCTTTAAAATTTCTTACTTTATAATGCCATCAAATTATTATTTTTTTAATATCTTTTATATAGATAATTAGTTACTAGTAACCATTATTCTTTTTTTTTAATTTTAATTTTAACTAATTTATTTGTAGTATATTTTTTAATTGCATGTTAGGTTCATTTTATATGTAGTTTATTATTTTTGATAGCATGTTAAGGTCGTTTTATATGTAGTTTAATATTTTTTTAAATTATTATAATAATTTGAAAAAAATATTATTCACTATATATATATATTTTTTTTGTGATAAAGTTCAACATAAGGCATGTTTCACGACATTCAAGATGAGATCTTAAATAAAATAATGTGAAAATTAAAAAAAAATTCAATTCTTATATATATTTTTTAATTATTTTGATTGAAGCCGTATGTTTTTTTTTAAATAAAATTGATTAAATCTCTCTATTAAAATCTCACGCATGACGTGTATTATATATTTAAGAGTGGGCAAGTCACATCAATTTACAAACTAATAATATTAAAACAGAGGGACTGTAACAAAATAAAATAAAGAGTAGATACACTCAATCAACATGAAAAAAAATAATGTTTTAATTAAAACAATTTAAATAGTACATAAATCATGTATGGACAAAACTCATATAATGATAACTTGTAGAAATGATCAAGAAAAAATCTAATTTATTTATATATATGATTAGAGTTTATGCTTTAAAACATTATAACTTAATGATTGAGTAGATACACTCAATCAACATGAGAAAAAAAATAATGTTTTAATTAAAATAATTTAAATAGTATAGAAATCATGTATGGACAAAACTCATATAATGATAACCTGTAGAGATGACCAAGAAAAATTATAATTTGTTTATATATATGATAAGAGTTTATGCTTTAAAACATTATAACTTAATGATTGAGTAGATAGACTCTATCAATACAAGAAAAAAAAATAATATTTTAATTAAAACAATTTAAATAATACAGAAATTATGTATGGACAAAACTCTATATTAATGATAACTTACAGAGATGACAAGAAAAATTCTAATTTATATATATATATATATATATGAGAGAGAGAGAGAGAGAGTCTGTGTGTAGACGATAACAAGACGAGGCCGAAATGGAGACATTTGAATGTGCGTGTAGACTAGACCAACCTCTATCCTAAAAGTTAAATTTCGAACGTCATTAAATTAAAATATTACATAGCGACTTGGCCTTGACGTTAAAATCAACATCAAATAGGGAAGTGGGGGTGGTCACTGGTGGCCATTGAAGTTGAAGCCTTGCATGTGCCACGTATGCGGTTGGTCACTGGTTTCCACCACCAAAGAAAGGGCCAATGATATTTGCGTGCAGAGTAACCAATGAGCTTGTCTAATCTACATCTCTTCTCCTTAATTAGTTAATTTACTCTCCACCGCCTTAATCTTCCATTATCATTTTGTTAATGCCATCACGTTGGATCTTTTTGTTCCTTTCTCTCATCTGGTCAACCCAATTACAATTTATCAACACCATCACACTACCCTTTATTATTAATTATCTATTTTCGTTCCATCACGATTCATTGATATTTGATTTAAGTGACCACATGCTTTACCTAACATATTTTTCGATTTCATATCGTGTTTCCAATAGACATTGTTTTACTATTAGAAGTAAGCAATACTCAGTTTGAATAAAAACCAAATCAAAATGAATTGAATATCGATTTTGGTTTGGTTTTAACTCAATTTTGTTTTTAAAAAATGGAACCATTTTTTTTTCTTTTTGGTTTTTAGGTTCAGTTTGTTTTTGGAATTTTTGATTCGATTTAAACCAAAAACCAATTTTTTTTTTAATTATATATATTGAAAGAAAACAATAGAAACAAACTCTTAAGTCCTAACCTAACAAAATAACATGGATACACATAACACCTCAACAAGAGCAACACTCGAATAGACGATGACCACTCCAACAGTCTTCTTCTTTAGGTATTCTATACTTTTCTCTCTCTCTCAACTAGTCAGGTGCATCCCATAGACTATAGTCCCACTCTTAAGCCCTCCCATTGAGGCATTGATTTGTTTCGAAGTTCAGACCTTTTGGTGTTTCCCACTTTCCCTTTCACAGTTCACTCGAATAGACGATGGAAATTATTATTTCTATTTGTCCTTTTTTAATTTGATTTTGTGTCACGTGTTAATACAAAATGACCACATGTTAGTTGATATCAACAACATTGGTATTTAATGGTTTCAGGTAACAAAATGCAGTCAAATAAAAAAATATATATCAAAGGTTTATCACTCAAATAGGTAAAATAAAAAATTAGGTATTCAAACAGAACAAAAATTAAAGATATCATACAGAAGTTACCATTTTTTATAATTTCACTTGTTACTATAAAAAATACTCACATATCAATTGATATTGGCTACGTCAATATTTAATAGTCTTAGATGATGGAATGCACTCAAACGTATATATAAACAAATATTTGAGATTAATCACTCAAACAGGTAAAAATTAAAAAAAAAAAAAGATTCTTTTTCCCCTGTATTTGGACCTTATACTATTCAAAGTTTTTTTCATTGAAACTCTATATTTCCTTTTCAATTGATTGAGACCCTCCGTTCTTCGAAATTTTTTACTTCAAATTCTTTATTATAACGTTATCAATCAGTTATCAACACACCACCTCTATTCTTTGAGATTTTTTTACTTTATAATACTACTTTATAATTTTACATGTTAGTATAAAACACCTACATATTAGTTGATATTGGCTACGTCAACATTTAATAGTCTTAGATGATGCAATGCACTCAAACAGGTAAAAATAAAAAATAAAAAGTAAAAAAGGGTTTTTTTTTCCCTATATTTGGACCTTATATATTCGATTTTTTTTTTATTGAAACTCTATATTCCTTTTTCGATTGATTGAGACTCTTTATTCTTCGAAATTTTTTATTTCGGATCTTTTATTATAATGTTATCAATCGGTGATCAACACATCACCTCTACTCTTTGAGATTTTTTTACTTTATAGTACTATATGTTGATCATTAATTGGTGGCATTATAAAAAGGATTTGAAGTAAGAAATCTCAAAGAATAGATAGTTTCAATCGAGTTAAAAATAATAGAAGGTCTCAATTAAAAGACTTTAAAAAATATAGAGTCTAAATATGAAGAAAACCAAATAAAAAATTAAGGATTCAAACAAAATAAAAATAAAAATAAAAAACTAGGTATTAAAATTGGAGTCTCTCATTATTATATTAAAACTAATAATGACAAGTTTTGACAGAAACTAAAATGAGAAGGGAACTACAAAATTTAACTTTGTATATGGAAGAGTATATATATATCGATGAGAAGAGTATTCTTGGATTATCTTACATATCAATGAAGACAATTTTTTTCTTCGGATGATTTTAAGAGAACATCCTTCTATATTGACCTAATGCATTCAATAAAATTTAATAAATTTCTTTGATACTCACCATAAAATTTAAACTCAACAAATTAAAAAAATAAATATATTTTCTTAACCACCACATCAATTTCTTAAATTTTATAAAAATAATAGTTGATCAATAGACTCGTAGAACATAATTCCTTTTCTAAAGATGATATCAAATTATTGAATTATAATATATTATATACTTTTAGTATACTAAAATTTTTTGTTAGAAAAAGAAAATTCGAATCCAAAATGTTTTTACTTAAAAATAACTTGAATTCCAACTCATTAACAACACATAATTTTAATTTCTGTAATATTCATTAATTACTTTACAAGCTTAGTGTGGAAAAGATAAAGATTGAGGTGCATAAAATCAGCATATTAGAGCTCAATTTTTTGTTAAAAAAGAATCATAAAGGGACAGTTTTCCAAAATGATTAGTTTAACGATAAATCAGTAATATTTGTTAACGAGAAACGGCCACCACATAGATGTCAACAATTGTCAAATATGCTCTCACATGTAACTGACACATGGCTCACATTCAATGGGATTGGTGTTCCAAATTTGTTGATACAAATTCATGGATTGGCTCAAAATCTCTCTAACCCCACCAATTTTTATCGAGAGAAATAAAACGTCTCACTTTCCTTTCCATACAAAGAAAATCCACTGAAGTTACAGGAGCAATAGCATAATTTCATTCCTTTAAAGCGTCCATATACATTTGACTCTGTGTTATGAACATTCCCATATCATACAGACAACAAGAAAGACACACACAAAAATGGCATCTTCAGCTTTGTTTTGCATCAGTTCAACAGCTGTTTTTGCAAGAACCCACTTTCCGATTCCAATCTTGAACAACTCCTCAGTAGAATTCTTGTCTTCCACAAACTGTGACTTCAACTTCAAAACCAAGGCAAGTACTAGTGCTAAGAAACTGACACAAGTGAGAGCTGTAGTGACTGAGGCACCTGCTGTGGGTGAATCGGAAGGGAAACAGTCAGAACAAAGGAAGCCAAAGGTTCTTGTTGCTGGAGGTGGGATTGGAGGGTTGGTTTTTGCATTGGCAGCGAAAAGGAAAGGGTTTGAGGTGATTGTTTTTGAGAAGGATTTGAGTGCAGTAAGAGGAGAAGGACAATATAGGGGTCCAATTCAGATACAGAGCAATGCATTAGCTGCTTTGGAAGCTATTGATTTAGAGGTTGCTGAAGAGGTTATGAGAGTTGGGTGTATCACTGGGGATAGGATTAATGGACTTGTTGATGGGGTTTCTGGTACTTGGTATGTTGTTTCCAACCTTTAATCATGTACATATATATGTCCTCGTTTTGTTTTTCCCTTATTTGGTATTTATTGTAATCTTTTGTCTATTGCTTTGTGGTTGGCCTCTAAAATTTATGGTCCTTTCGGTTATGTTTGAAAAACTGAAGCTTGGTAGTTATGGTTGACTGTATCCATGGTGATGGAATTTGATGAAATTAAATGGTTTGTTTTTCTTGCTGCTGAAATTGTTTTTATAGTTGCAGTTGAAGTTTATGAGTATGGTGATTGGCAAACTTTTGCTAGTTTTGACTGCTTCGAAGATGTGAAACTGATATATGAGGCTGAAGTTTGTATCTTTTGACTCACATCTCACTTGTATGAAGCTCTTAGGTAATTGTGAAGGTTGAAAGCTATAGGATTTTTCACACTGACAAAATCCCAAAACAGTGGAAGTGAGTGAGTTCCAGGATCCAGGCTTACTGATATGTAAAGTATTAAGATTCAATTGGATATATCCCACGCTTCTTCTTTTTGTTGTTTTTGTTTTTTTTCCTTCCTTTTAATCAACCAGAATCAGATAGTTGGCTTACAGAGCAATCCAACCTTTATTTTATTTCCAAGTTAATGCTTTTGAAACTGGAACTTGTTTTTTTGGGCTTGATTGCGAAGTTTGCCGATAAAACTTACATGCTCATCATATTTTAGCCTAAACAAACTATGCAAATTTCTAATGAAGATTATAATTGTGTCCAAACCGGCAGAAATGATGATTGGTAGACCTGGGCTACTAGCCATTTTATACAATGAAAGAAAAGTCTTGTGCTATTAAAAAAAATTACGTATGGTTGAGAACTTTATTGTTTTTGGCTGGCCTATCTGATTTAAGTGTTAGCCTCCAATGACATTGAATGATAAATGGTTATCAGGTATGTCAAGTTTGATACCTTCACCCCTGCAGCAGAACGTGGGCTTCCAGTCACAAGAGTTATCAGCCGTATGACTTTGCAACAAATACTAGCTCGAGCAGTTGGAGATGAAGTGATTTTTAATGATAGTAATGTTGTTAGTTTTCATGATGATGGGAATAAGGTAATATGACCTGCTGATTTGTAGAAGATTGTCCATTTGGCAGCATCTTCCCTCGCTGAGAATTCTCTCAACGTTTTCATTTCTTGCTCAATGGGATATCATTTGACTTCCTGGTTTGTTACTTAAAAGCATCTTGTACACATCTTGAATTTTCACATTTATTCATTTGTTCTTTAAAATTTACAAATTTAGGTCAGTGTGGTGCTCCAGAATGGTCAACAATATGAAGGCGATCTCCTAGTTGGTGCGGATGGAATATGGTCAAATGTATGGCTATGTCAAGTCCTTTCTTTGTCCCTTCGAAACCATATTTTATCAAAAAATAAAATTCTCTTTTGAATGATCTCAACAAATACTATCAACCCATTGCCACTGTAGACGGAGTATGTGTATGAAATTTCTGTTCCAAGTGCAGTCTATAGTGCTCTGCAGTTAAGCACTAGAGTGTGATCTTGAAATTCCTTATGTTTGCCTCGTGCACAGGTGAGGAAGAATTTATTTGGGCCCAAGGAAGCGGTGTACTCAGGCTATACATGTTATACTGGTATAGCAGATTTTGTACCCGTTGATATTGAAACTGTTGGGTATGTTCCATTTCATTGCACTCCAACTTCCCAGCTTCATAGACCCCTTTGTTTTCTTCTACAGGCAATCTTGTTCAAATTCAGCGGAGTGTACAATTTCTATTAGTTGAATTGGATTTTGTTTAGATGCTTACTTTGAGTTTTTTCCTGAAGGTATCGTGTATTTTTGGGTCACAAACAATACTTTGTTTCTTCAGACGTGGGTGCTGGAAAGATGCAGTGGTATGCATTTCACAAGGAACCACCTGGTGGTGTGGATGGTCCCCGTGGTAGATACTTTTCTGATGATCCATATCCATTATAAGCATGCTCTGATCTGGAAATTTTATTGAAGAATTTATACAACTGAAACAAGATTCTTTTAGTGATGAATTGAAATTTAAATTAATCTCATGCAACATATTTGTGATCTTGGCTTGACAACACAATTGATCATTCAAATTCGTCTAAACTTCCTTTTGAATACAAAATACAATTGCATCTGACAAAGTCTAAGCATTCAACTGAGAAGTCATAAACTGAAAGCAATAATGCTAAAATATGCTTGTGATACTACAGCAGCTTATGTTGCAAGCAAGGATGTTTGTTTGTGGAATGTAGTTTGTTATGAAGAAGCTAACTGCTTGGTAAATTTACAACAGGAAGCCCTAGTTTTAGAAAAGAGGGCTATCAGGAAATGAATAATATTTTCGTCTATGTTGCTGCAGTTATGTTTCCAATATTCATGCTGTTACTTGTCACTGTGGTGGAGTGAATTGACACTGCTGAGTTTTAAATGAATTATGAGCATGCTTAGTCTTCAAATTCATTTGGAATCTGAAACCTCTAACAAAGCAGAGTTATGTTAGATTATGCCATGAAGCCATGACAATATTGATGAATCCATCTTATGAGTGATAAAGATTAAAACAATGATGAAGACACTTGTTTATCATTTTCTAATGTTATCTTTCTTATTCATATTCTGGCAGGTAAAAAGGATAGGCTGTTGGAAATATTTGAGGGTTGGTGCGATAACGTGGTAGATTTGATTCTGGCCACAGATGAAGATGCCATTCTTCGACGTGACATATATGACAGGGAACCCATTTTTAATTGGGGAAAGGGTCGTGTGACCTTGCTTGGGGATTCTGTCCATGCCATGCAACCGAATATGGGTCAAGGGGGATGCATGGCCATTGAGGTATTCCTTACTTCCTCTTTGTTTGATCCTAATTGCGAATCTGGAACAATGCTTTCATTGGTAGTTGTTACCTTCAAATATATAAACGTGACCTAGGATTGTATCACATAATTAACAATGACTTCGATGTCATTCTTTTATGCTTCCTGAACCTTTGAATGTCTCCTTTGCTGAAAATAATTTATTGCTGTACATTCTCTTTACATCAATTTTTACTTTCATTGCATAAATAAATGAGCAGTATCATGTTTCTTATTAGAATTATTGTCCTCAAAAGTTCATAAAACAAAAATTGAGTCGATTGAAGAATCTCAAAAATACATCTAAATAAACTACATATTTCAATGTGGCAGGATAGCTACCAACTTGCAATGGAGCTTGATAGAGCATGGAAACAAAGCAATGAATCAGGAACGCCTGTCGATGTTATTTCATCACTAAGGAGGTAACATGTTAGTTGTTTTAAAAATAATCTGAAAATACATATAATTTTGAGGCTGGTATAATTTCTTGACATGAGACTTGGAGATAAAACGGAAATCAATCCTCTGCATATTTGGAAGGCATCTCACAATTTTGATTTCAAGGCTTTGTTGATTAGTCTTGAGTTTAGTTCCCCTTAAGTAGTGACCACAGAACATTCTACTTAAAGAATAAGTATGTTGAGTGTAATATGTACCTGTGCCTGTGATTTGGTAAGCATTATTGGTTTATCTAAGGAACATTTGCTGATTCTTGACATGCATTCATGTAAAGCTTTGTGTGAACTTACTATGATGTGTCATAGGTAAACAATGTTAGCATACAGAAACTATGCATTTATAAACCATTTGCTCTGCTATTATTGGTTTATCTAAGGACACTGGTTAGCCTGGATTGACCTATATTCAGATTCTGACTGACCTGGTGTACGTATAATATGATGGAATATTTTAACCACTAACTTTTCTAGTTGATTCAAACACCCTTCTTTGCACAGCTATGAGAATGCTAGAAGACTTCGAGTTGCCATTATCCATGGAATGGCAAGAATGGCAGCAATTATGGCTTCAACATACAAGGCGTATTTGGGTGTAGGACTTGGTCCACTGTCGGTAAGGATCTTTGTTTATTACATTTTAAGAAACTAATGTAGCTGTCAGAATTTTTCTTCCATAACCGTGATGCTTTTTTACCTGGTTTTCAGTTCTTGACAAAGTTTCGGATACCTCACCCTGGAAGAGTCGGTGGCAGGTTTTTTATTGACATAGCAATGCCTGTAATGCTCGATTGGGTCTTGGGTGGAAATAGGTTGAAACTTGAAAATCCATTTTTTTCCTGATTAGTTGCTTCCTAAGATATTTACTACACATTTGTTGCAGAAAACTTTAATCTGTTTAAAACTATGATAACTTGTGTGTTCAAGGTATTTTGTTCTGAATGTAGAAGCTTATAGTGTATTAGAGATCACATTTCACAGGTTTCTCTCTTCTGTAATTTGGCTTTTGCAACGAAGAGCTCTAGCATGTCCTTTTACTCTCTTTTGGACTCAAAATTTAAAGCATTTATCTGATGGGCAATGTAAAGCTGGGTAATGGGTAGTTCAGGATTCTAGAAAATATCTTTAAGCATTGGAAGTGAGAAAGAGCATTGGAAGTGAGAAAGAAGTACCACACAGACATGTGATTTGAGAAAAAGAAGTGTTAAAATAAGTTCATATGATTATCACATAAGGGTGGTTAGGATTGAGAAAAAAGTCTTAAGAATTTCCATAAGCATAAGCTTCACATTTGTTGTAACCTCTTTTATGTTAATCCTTTTTTAACTCAACTGGAAAACTTATTTTCTTTTGCAGTTCAAAACTTGAAGGGAGGTCTCTGAGTTGCCGACTCTCAGACAAAGTATGTTGCCTTAGCAATACTAAGTGTATTTTCAAGTGTTGCTTATTGTATCTTATTCTTGAACTTAGAAGATTCTGATATGCGATGGAATCTACTATGTAATCATATTGTTAGGCCAGTGACCAGTTGCGAAGATGGTTTGAAGATGATGATGCTCTAGAGCGTTCTATTAATGGAGAGTATGTGTTATGTGCCTTGTGAATTTTTTCTTGGCAACATTTCTTACGATGCAACTACCGTTTCTTTATCCATCTTCCTTGTTTTGTAGGTGGTTTCTTTTACCATGCGGAAATGAGGCTTTTGCTTCACAACCTATTGGTTTAAGTAGGGATGAGAACAAACCATGTGTGGTTGGGTATGCATTTGATATTAATTTAACCACAATAAAGCAATTTCAACTCTGTAGATGACTTAATCATCACTCCAAAATCATCCAGCATATGACACTTCTTTTGATGTCGTGTGGTGATTGCAGGAGGGTGTCACATGAGGATTTTCCGGGAATGTCCATAGTGATACCCGCACCCCAGGTAATATAGGCCTGATATGCCTACCAAGTTATTTTTATTGCATTCAGAAACTTCATTCCCATAATGATGATATGAAAAGAAAAAGTGTACTATCAAGGTTCATTTTCATTAGAGTTTAAACAAAAATGTTCCTTTTTGTTTTTTTTTGTTTTCTTTTTAACGTCAGGTTTCAGAAGTGCATGCTCGTATAACTTATAAAGATGGCGCATTTTACGTAATTGATTTGGGGAGTGAGCATGGTACCTTTATCACAGAGTAAGTTGTGCAAATCAAGATAGATCTTCCTGTATTTCATATACTATCATGGAGTTCTTCTCTAAGGTTGAACTCTCATACATGTGCAGTATTGAGGGGAGACGGTATAGGGCACCTCCGAATTTTCCTGCTCGATTCCGTCCATCAGATATGATTGAGTTTGGTTCAGATAAGAAGGTGACAAACAATCTCTTCCCTGTTGATAGCTTTTCTTTTGAAATTAGATTAAATCCATATTCTAAATGCAAATCTAGGAACCAATATGTGCTGGTCCAAATTTCATAATATCTTTACTAGCATGTCTCAGACAATATAGTGTGTCTCCAAATAAATTTGATGAGAAAAAACATTGTGAGCTTCCATGTGCAGACCGTATTTCGTGTTAAGGTGATGAGGTCTCCTCTGAAGATTTCAGAGAAGAAGGAAGAGGGCCAAGTTCTTCAGTCAGTATAAACTCTGGAGGTTATTGAATTTGTACAGCAATTATTTGGAGCAGTGAGCAATGTAATTCTGCTGCCTTATTTACTGTCATTGATTGGAAGTAGATAGCTTTATACAAGAGTTGGGAAATCCATACATTGTTGTACTATGAACTGGAACTATTCTATGAAACAAACAAAGAGGAGATGGAAGTACTTGTAATGTCAATCCTTCTTGAGTTTAATAAAGAATATCAATGCAAGATTATTGGAAAAGATTTAGGCAAATTTATATTTTCCCTTTCAGCATCCATCACCTAATTATGGTCCAGCAAAATTACGCAGGAGATTCACTAGCTGCATGCCTCGTGGCTGTGGACTGGTACATACGCACCGAGTTGATCTAACTATTTTCGGCTCTTTAATATGTTTCAACTGCCAATGTCGGGTACTCTTGCCGAATAATTCTCCGTTAGCCAGGTAATTTGGAAATCAGCCTAATGAAGAGATAAACAAGTGCTCACCATGCCAATCAAACACATGCATAAGCTTTGCCAGACGGGTTAACCATGGATTTTTGATTTAGGATAAACGTAAAAAGCAATTGAAGAGCAAGGAAAGGTAAATTATAGCCAGAAAAAAACACCGTAAAACTTGATGAAGGTAATTGAAATGAAAGAAAATAAATTGCATAGGTGGGTATATCCATAAAAATGCATTGAGAACTAGATGCTTGAGAATCAAGTTAAACAAACTGAACAAATTGAGAATCTTTACAAAATAGCAATAATATTGTATTTTTCAGGAAAGAAAAATTATGAATACTGATACTCTAGACATAATAATTAATGAAGGAATTATGAATGATGATAGATGTGAGCACAAGTAAAAAGGATGAAGAACTAATTACCAGCCTATGAATTATCTCCTATTGATTATTGTCTACAAACTATTGCCTACAAATTACTATCTACAAGCAACTAGCTAACAAGTTTCAAACGTGAAACTTTTGATAATGCTCATTAAGTTGTTTGAAAATTTGTAAGAATATTTTTGTATTTGGCATTGTTACGTGTTGTTCTCATTGGCTTTAATTGGTATTTATAGACTCTTTGTTGCTTATGACCTCCAATAATATGCCACTTTCTCCATTGCGAGTAGTAGTGTTCTATGTTCTTTCTTTCTTGCATTGCAATTCATTCATGTCTTCCTTTTTTATGCACTCTGGAATGCTTTGTTCTATTATCCTTATGCAACAATTCTCATGTTTCTCTTAACTTCTTAGATCGTCATTTATTGTTACTAGAAGTTTATTATTTTTTCTAACTACTTATACATTATTTGTTACCAATCATCTACCTTTTTTTAGATGGAATTTTCATGTTTTGATCCAACTTTATAGTCCATCTTCCACTAGTTTTGGAGGGAGCTCCAATTGTTTTGACTTTGAGATAATTAACTAGACTTTTCATATGCATGATGGACTTAATGCGCATGTTGGGCTTAATTGGTTAGCCGATGGTCTTTCTTTGTACGGAACAAGTTTGATGGGCTCTTAAATGGCATTATCCAATAAGCTTATTTCAAGAATTTGATGGGTTTCTCCTAAATCTTGTATCTAATTTATTAGGCTCAAGCCTAAATTAATTTTCTTTTTTTTTTTTCTTTTTTTACATATGTGGAAGTCTTTTTGATGTGTGGCGGGAAATAACCATATGGCGCCTATTCATTTAGTTCCCAAAATCTTTAACGAATACCTAAATCGGCTATTGTACTTTAACATTCTTGCTCAAACCAAAATATAGACACACCATTGTAGCACCTAACTTGTCTCCTTTTTGTTGTTAACTACCATTATCCTTCTTTGTTTTTTTTTCTTTCCCCTTTTCTATTCTCCTAATTTCTAGAGTTATTTCTTTCTTTGGTAAATTCATAAATGCATTTCCTACATTCCAATTTGATGGCTCATGACAAATGTCTTAAAACTTTTTCTTCCAAGAAGAGGATTCAAAATTCCTCACAATCCATCTCTATTATTTCTTTATAGTTTGACAATCTCCGTAAATCAGTTCCATCTTATTATCCCTTTTTGATATAACCATCTCTTCGTTCTACTTGTGATGAAACCTCATATATAGTTAAATTAAGTCCCCTTACCAATTCTCAATGCTAACTTCTTGGCCCATTTCTTTTTCATCGTTGTGGCCAAAAAAGACCTCCAATAACAAAGCCAAGACTCTTTTAGATAGTTCTAGATGAAAAGGATTTGGAATTTTATCACCTTCTTGTTGCTCATAGTACTAAGTTAAATGGCTTTTCTAGTTATTCTAAGTAATCTTCAATGGTGTTACTTTATAATTTGACAATCTTTGTGAATCGGTTCCATCTTATTATCCTTCTTTGATATAACCATCTCTTTATTCTACTTGTGACGAAACCTCCTCTATAGTTGAATTGAGTCCCCCTACCAATTCTCAAAGCTAACTTCTGGACCATTTCTTTTTCATGGTTGTAGCAAAAAAAAAAAAAAAAAAAGACCTCTTACAATGAGCCAAGACTCTTTTAAAGAAAACAGACTTTAGATGAGAAGGCTTTAGAACTTTATTGCCCTCTTGTTGCTCATAGTACTAAGTTAGTTGGCTTTTCTAGTCATTCCAAGTAATCTTCAAGGGTGTGTGGTCCATTAGACAACTTGAAATCCATGCTCGTGTGCTAGCTTGAAGGATTTAACTTGTATTCGAGCCAAATGAAAAAGATGAAGATCATATAAATCCTTAATCTCACTATAAAATGCATCCCATCACCCAATTCCCCTATACTTGGTGTTTTTCTTTCCCTTAGGGATACGAGAAACAATTGCACTCATAATAAGAACGAACCTTTGGGCATCATTTTAGAGAATGCGGTGTCCCTTAATAGATGTTCTACCGATATAGGCCTTTACAACTCCATAGACTCTACACCTTTTGCTACTTCCTACAAGGTTCAATTTCACTCTACTATGGTGAATGCCCGGTTCTACTCTAATTATGCATAGCCTTTCTTGTTCCCGAATGACTACAATATAATGAAACTAGGATTTTATTTTTATGGCTCTACAAGTATGTCATTTGTTACAAGAGTACTACCATAAGTTTTGATATCTTTCTATGATCGAAGCTATGTTTAGGCATAGTGAACTCGTTGCTTTAGCTCCACTACTTTTAGCTTATTCTAATCATAACATTTATGAGCCTACTGCCCTCTTTCTCGCCATAATTATCCTTTCCCTTTATGGTTTCTTACCTTTTAAGTTGCTACTAATTTTTTACACTTAGTTTCCATATGTGAAAACTTTGATGGTGATCAAAACAACTTGTCATATGGTCATTATTTTAGTGTTCTTCCCTTTCTTATAAATACTATTGGTTATAAGGATTGTGCAAATGGTATTTTTTTTAGAACCAAGAGACTACCCTTTCATTTTTCTAAGCTTTTTTTCCTTAAGATGGTTTGGTCCTAATTGTTATAAGGTTTACATATTATAAGGTGCTTTAGAAAAGGACAACCTGGATTTCTAGAAGATTATTTTGACTTGAAAAGAAATCCATATCTTCTTTGTGGATAGTTATTATATGAAGACTTACTAGTTAAACCTCTTCAATATACAATTCGGTCTTTATTAAGACATCCTTGGCCTTCTTCTTTTGTTGTACTACTCTCTTAAGCCTCATATGAGGCCTCTTAATAATGAAGTAATCTTGAACTTGATTGAGAAGAATATCTTATCCTAGGCGAGTGCGGTGGTTGAGCTTCCTTAAACTAAGGCGATTTTTATTATACCTAAGTTTGCCTCTTGGTGAAGGTTACTCGTTCATGATTCCGATGATCGATACAAAGCTCGCAACAGATTATGCATTGGATTTTTCTCGGATTTTATTCTATTTTGTTTTTGAATATTTTGTAATATAATTAATGAATGTACTTGGAAGTTTGAATGAATTGTGGTGGAACATAATCTCAACTTTAGACTAGGGAACAAATTTTCTTAAATTATGAAAATTTGATATTGACTTATACTTTTGTATCGGTATAAATATGTCTCCGTAGTAATAAAATATAAGTTCCCTTTTATTTTTTTATCTATCTTCTTCTTCTTTCATACATATATACCGAAACTTCTTACATCCGGTATCGAGCTATAATTGATCTTTATGGGTCCGTATGTGAGAGAAAACTAGTAAGAATACCTCACTTAAAAAAACATATACACTTGACAAATTTGAGTGATTTTTATGATGGCTACAAACAGTAGTATTTCTACTCTTTCTCCTTCAATCTTCACTGGAGAAAATTATCCTATGTGGTCCGTGAAGATGGAAGCATATCTCGTGGGTTTGCTATTGTGGGAAGCTCGTTAAATTAGATTTTGAACCGAATTGCCAAACAATCCAACTTTGAATCAGCTTAGAATGTATGAAGAAAGGGTCTCTAGAAAATTTAAAGCCTTAAGTAGTCTTCATTCAATAGTAAATGAGACTATTTTTACAAGGATTATGGCATGCAAGACAACAAAGGAAGTCCGGGACAAGTCGAAGTTAAAATTTTAAGGAAATGAAAAGACAAAACAAATATAGATCTTTAATTTAAGAAAGGAGTTCAAATTTCTCAAGATGAAAGAGACCGAGAATGTAAAAGAGTACATTGATAGAGTTATGAAAGTTGTTAATTAAGTAAGGTTGCTAGGTGAGGACTTACAAGAAAGAAGAGTTGTGGAGAAGGTAATGGTAACTCTTCCGGAACGATTTGAGGCAAAAATCTCTTCAATTGAAGATACCTAGGATTTATATCGGCTTTGTCTTGTAGAGCTTGTAAGTGCTCTACAAGTTATTGAACAAAGAAAAGCATTTAGAGAAGAAGAAGGCTCAACTAAAAATGCACTTTTTGCATCCCAAAGAGTAAAAGTACGGACTAATGATGCAAAGAAAGACTCGCATTCAAAGAGAGGTAAAGATAAGATTTAATCAAAGTAACATGAGAAAGAATAGGAGAGAT